ACCTGCCACTCACAGTCAATCAAACCGGAAGTCGCCCAGACAGACTTAAAGGTTACTGTTGCGATTTGTTAGCATTTAGGATTTAACAGAGGGTCTATTGTTTCGAAAAAAGGTTTCCAGATAATTCACATTGGCACAAACCGTTTTGTAAAGCAAAAATTTGAGTGCTGCAACAGAATGTATGCTATGCGTTTAAACAAGGACAAACCTCAGAAGTTAAATGTATGTGGCATAAATGTCAAGGAAAGGGAACAAAAAGAGAGAAAGTCACTTCTTGTGGGAGCTCCTCATCTCTCTGTCATTTCACTCTGACATGAATAAGTGAGAGATGACAAAGAGGAATGCTCGCCTCTTGCTGCACTTGTCCCTCTTTCCAGATTCATCGCGTCTATACTGACGTCAACCGAACACAACAATACAGAGACAGCTTTTCTTGCTACAGTGCCCCCCCCCCCTTTTTTTTCCCAGTGACTGGGTTCCAAATGTGACAGAACAAATTGAAAATTAAATCTTGAGTTGACATGAGAATACTGACATGAATATTTGAAAAGTGCAATCCGAATATCAAGCAGATGCTTATGAAAATGCTCATCTGAACACAAATAATTGTTGGTATTTAAACTTTAACATAAACAACTCCTACATTCAACACATATATCTCAGAATGGAAATGTTTTGAGTGTGTTGACTTTAATGTTCAACCACATCCAGTTGTTTTGTTACCAATTGTTTCGATGCCTTCTAAAAAATCTAGATTGTGACATCACAAAAATTGCATTCCACCCGTACGGTTATCATTCATGGTGGTTGTATTTCCCATTCAGAGTAGCGTCACCTGCTGGGAGATCCATTGTGATGTTTGGTGTAAAAATCACCCCAATAGCATTTATTTGAAAACTTCTGCATGAAAACTGAAGGAAGGTTTTTGCTTTTCTGTGTGCACTGTTGCAAATATTGGAGCTTTACCCTTTTCTTTTTTTACCCTCTTTTTGCACCACTTGACCACATTTTTCACTCACACTATTTGATAAATTTAATGTTAGTGGAGTGAGTATGTTCCACTTTGAGTTTTACCTCAAGCATTTAAGCACAATCTCTCAGTTTTTTGATAATTGAAAGCTCAATAACAGGTGCATTGTTGAACTGAAATCACATGGTACATGCATTTGCTTCAGTGTGCTCACAAGACGCCTATATTTCTTTCGAGCAGACAAGATCGTTTATTTTAACCACAAGAAGCTGTTTGTTACATAGTTGTTACACAATACAAGTTTTTTACATTTGATTTGAATTTATTGAAGTCTTATCATAATGGCTTAAGAAATTTGTCAAAACATTTAAGCCAAATTTAACTGAGAAACATGTTTTTTATACACTTTAAGGCCTCAATTGCACAAATTCACACTGCACCCTGGTTTCCCCATGGTCTTCCATCCAGAACCCTTCCAGGCGTTTGAAGTTCCTCCAAAATCATCTCTAAAATGTGTTTGTTCAAATCCCATTTATTCTCAAGTCATCTAAACTTACATTGGTTACATTAAGAACGGCTATAATATATTTTAGAGACAGAATAACTGTTTAGAGGGAAATTGTTAAAAATAAAACAAGAACTTGATTTCAAAACCAATTCTAGCATACAGATTTAAAAATTCTATCTTAAGTAAGGTTTATTTTATTTATAATCAAAGATGCTGTTTTTCACTCTTATTACCAGTCATCGCTTTTTTTTAGAAGCATGGGTAAAATAATATATACATATAATAATATGTTTTCTCTGTTTTTGATGTTTTCAAAATATGGTTTGTTGCATATTCATACCATTAAATTTATATTTTGTCAAATGTACACTGTAGCATTTTCTTTAAAAACCTAAAACTAAATTGAATCTTTTTGAAAACATTGTACTTTATCCGACAAAAAGATGTACAAAGCATAATAGAATAAATTGTGATTTATTGTTATTTGTCACCCAAAATACAATAAATATGTAAATTGAGAGAACTTACTTTTGCTCTTCCCATGACCTTCTAAAGATCCAATTGACGCAACTTCCTGCTGAGAAAGTGCCAGATATTCCCCAGTTTGTCAGGAGGGGGATGGGTAGGGGTTACAGGAATGAGTAAGACTGGGACATGACTAAAGTATAGATATTTTTGTAAAAACATATATTTGAAACAAACATTATTTATGGATTTACACATCAATGCAAAAGAAAAGGTTTCAATCTTTATTGTTTATGATGTAGTGAAGCGTCAGAGACAAGGGATATGTAATAAATGTTATTGTCAGTGTCCCACATGAAGCAAAACAATTACATACCTGTATATTTGTAAAGAAAGGAAAACAAAAGTAGAGTCAACATAGAATTCTAGTATAAGGTTCCACTTTTATACTAAACATCAAATGCTTTGTGAGAAAACGTAGCGTTTTTAATTAAGAGGGCATTAAAAGAAAGATTTGCTCAGTGTATATATCTTTCTAAACTGGAGCTTATTTAAATGTCACAGAAGCACAAGTGAATACCATGAACTCAAAGATATCTTGTGTTATTATCTCATTGTCTTATTATCAGCAGCTACCTCTGTAATGCTATCTAACGCGGCTGTTGAACAAGCAACTAAGAAAAGTGTGAACCCATTAAAAACCTACATTTGATGCTTCCTCAACTAAAAGAAATGTGATGAAACATGGTCAGTAAGTCAGCTATAGCAAAAGCAGAGAATTAAACCATAGCTATGGGTTTCCAAGGTTACTGGTCCCATCTCTCTATCCTTTTCAGTTCAGATTTACAGGGTTTGTGAACCGTATTAGATATTTTTGCAAACATGCCGGTTTAGGCAGCTTTGGCCAATTTATTGTAATCTCAGGGGAGATGCGACGAGAAACAAAGGGATAAATAACAAAACATGCGCAAGAGCTGATTAGAAATTAGATGATGCAATTGGGTTCATCATAGAGTATTATGCTTTGTATTTTTAGCATATGGATGAAAACCAGACGGCATAGCCGCGCAGTTGACATTGGCTTTGACTTTGATGACAGGACCAATCAAAGCACAGCATCAGATGAATCCCAAATGAATGCTACTGGATCTCACAATTTTGACTGACAACTGTAGAATGAGGAGAGGGAAAGAAAGACAGGCAGAAGAAAAACTGTAAAGGAGGGAGGACTAGAAATAAAGACAAGCTGTTTATGAAAATACATTGCTGTAAACTACAAAATATTGGTATATGTATCTGCAAAATACTGTTTAAATGCGACAGGAAAAGACTGAATTTCACAAAACATGTAATAACCGTAAAATTTACAGTGAAAAAAATAAGTATTACAGAGTATAACCTTAATTTTAACAGTTAAAATGATGTGGAAATACAGTTTGTTGCCATAAAATGTACAAATAAAATTATTAGTTTTAAATGATTTAGAGTGTGTTTTTGGAGCATTTTGAATGAAACCCGTGGGATCACATGCATTTTGACAGTTTTAAACCGTAAGAACATGATTACATTATGGGAAATGTACAGTACTATCCCATAAAATGACAAATATTGCACAATTATTTAAATATTACAACACAAACCTTTAAATGAGACTGTTAACTGTACAAAAGACGGTCATGAATTGCAAATGCATAACGATTTAAATCCTTGATTTTGATAGGTTTACACTGTTTTTATGGCAAAAAAATATGTTGAACTGTAACATTTGTGTTAAAAATTGTAAAATTTACATCCCATAAATCCAATACCAGTTCTTCCATTTTTTTTTATGGTAAAGTTCTGGCAACCACAGCTGCCGGTTCTTTACCGTAAAAATGTGTTTTTTTGCAGTGTGGACTAGGAGAAACCAAAATGATTTATTGTATTTCTGAACAATAAGACCTACAAACATCCAGAACTTTGATGGGATGGTCACTTTATATTCTGCACTCAACATTCTAATCCCAAACAGCACTGTTCAGTGTCTAGGTGGTTTATTAGCATCTAAACTACCGAGGCTCAGACGTATCACCCTGGAGGCCAAGACTGGTTGCCCACATAGCTAAGCTGGGTTGAGCCTGGTTAGTCTCATCCAGACCCCCTAATAATGACCGGTCTACTAATTGGCTACACCACTCAGCCTCCCATCAATCATGTGAACCAGGGGGATGCTGAACACTGGTGGTGGATAAGGAGTAAACTGGGAAAGAGTGATTTAATGTAAGCCATTAATACTTTCACAAGGGCCAGTGTGCATTATAAGAAATGTTACTTTGACGACCCTTCCTTATTCAAGGAATTATTATTTGTAGGTTATTGGTGAAACTCTAAAAGCTCTCGATAATGGAAGGAATTGCTCTTCTAATGCTGACGCACATTTGAGCTAAAAATGAACAGGGTCACAACAGTCTAACAAAAATCCTCTTGAAAACCAGAAAGGAACATTTTAGAAAACCAAGACTACAACTCAAAACATTTCAATGAGTGTTCTTTCATCCAAAAATAATTTTTAATCTCATCATGGTGTGCTAGTGAAGTCATTGCTTGGCTCTGAATCTAAAAAGTTGAATTATGACTGAAATATATTTAAAAAAAAACATGTTTTTAGATTTTTGTACACATCTACTAATGCTCCATCCCAATTATTCCTTATGAGGGTGCATGGGGGTTGGGCGGGTGCCATAACAGAGTATTGAGTTCTTGATTTCCCTCTACTTCAACCCAACTTGTTTTACACATTGCTATAAAGATTAAAGTACAGTGACCTCATAAAGAATAAAAGTGTATTTCACAAAACTGTCACAAAGAAAAAATGTAACAGTGCACAACCTTAAATGTAACAGCTAGAAACATTACCGTAGACATTAGAATAACTTACCGTATACCCAGCAGCATTTTGGTGTCAATTACAATAATGGACATGTAAACGCTTAGAGGATTCATACTAATTCACTGAACAATATTTAAATTTTACTAACTTGTTGGGAAAATCTGGCTTAAAAGTAAAAATACCGAAACTTTCCTGTGGCTCAGTGAGTAGAGCATTGCCCTAGCAACACAAAGGGCGATGGTTCAAACCCACTGATGAAATGTGCTAATTTCTTGAAATGCAAGTTTCTAGAATCTGCTAAATGCATAAATGTACAGTAAAACAATTCATTAAAAGTAAAACTTTTAGTTTTCACGCAAGTTATTGAACCCTGGAATTTGACAGTTTCTTTAAACAGTAAAATGTAATTCACTTTTTGGAGTGCATCCTTAAAATGATCATTATTTTGTGTTGTACATGAAATGTGAGGTCATCTCTCTCCCTCAGACACCAAAGCGATCATCATTTAGTTGAAATCAAACTAAAGCCATTGACCGACTGCTGCGACATACACCTAACTAATGCAAGAGTTGACATTCAGAGAATGTCAGGTTAGGACAAAGGCTCGATATGGCCTCATTCCTCCCCCGTAAAAACCCTCGACTCTTGCCCTCACGTGACAGGGACGTAAAAGAGAGCAGCTAACAATGAAAGAAGAAATACCACTGTTTATCTGGGGGTTGTTTTGTTGGTTATCATTTAGACGAGAATGAATGGCACCGACTTGGGGGCTGTGAAAATATAACTGAAAGACATTTTCCCACATTTTAAGTTGAATTACCTTGCCAATTGTGTCAAACATACCTAGCAAACTCTCGTGATATTATTTTAAAACCAAAAATTTCAAAGCCAATAACATTTTTTAAAGCCAATTTTTGAAATCTCACATCAACCAAATCCAACATTAAACAATAGGTGGGTTGCGTAATTCTTCTTTAATTGAAAGCAAACGTTGTGATTGGCACCAAAATAGCTTTAAACTAGTGATGAGTTATCAACAAATACAGCATAAACAATTTAAACTCAAAACAAATGATTCCCTGTTGAATTGGGTAGTCTATGAATATCTTCATGACTGGAACAGATTTCAGCTCCTAAAGCTCATCAAAACTCTTGACTAATGAGCAGTCGAGTCGTCTATACCAAGGCCTCAAGCTCTGTAAAATCAACCTTCTTATGTTTATTCCAGTCAAAGAAAGAAAGAACCCCCAGCTCACAAACTAATGAGCACCAACAGTTGAATAATTGATATTTTATATAAATTAAACTTTTATTCATTCAATGTAATGCGTGTCAGATTTCCACGAAACTCACTAGAACTGGACTGTCACGGAACACTTTAAAATTCTTTTTAGTCCCAAAACCTGCCAGACTCCTTTTCAAAGAGGTTGAAAAATATTTGAGGAAAAGAAAGGGAATTATTACCTAATTATTGGAGATGGAAGAAGAGAAAACTTCACATATTTGAAGTTTTCCCCAAATAGAATAGAAATTGCCATAGGGATTTCTAACACGATCAACATACGAAAAGAAGACAAGGAGGCACTGGCATGCAGTGATGGACTCCGGACATTTGAGAATTTGCAAAAAAAACCAAGTGTTTATTTCATGTGTACTTAATTGAAAAGGTATTTACATTTCAATATTTCGTCAAGTTCACAGTTTTAAAATGACCCAAGCTCATACGCAAAGAAAATGCTCAATAGTTCAATAACAGTGAGAAAAGCTGATTATAGAACAGATCAATAGTAATCCTCCAGATCTGGTTTGTCCCCTTGGTTTTGAATCTGCTGCTGTTTCTTGTAGAGATCAGCAATCTGAGGAAGAGAAGAAAGTGAGTGACGCAGATGCAGAAGATCAGAACAGTTCCTTTCGAGGGGGAGTGCGGGAGAGGTTCCAACCATCAGGAGACAGGAATAAAGGAAAACCGGAATAAATGAACTGTGAAAATGAGAAGGGAACTGAAAGAACGACAGTGTGGCAAAAAAAAAGATGGATTTCCTTTAACGGATCCACTCCACTAAATCACAATGTCACAACACTCTGAAACTACGCCAATGTCATCACGTTTGACTTTCAGCAGGAAAAACTTCTTTAGTTGTCATTCTTTCCCACGAAAGCACTGTATTTGAAGGGTGTCATATCCTGGACCATGCACACATTACACATTTCTGACATGTGCCTCTCAAGTGGGGTAATTATTATTGACTCAAACACTTGTGAAGTTAGAAACCAAACTACAAATTGTTGGATTTAACACACCCTTTTTTTATTAAAGCCACTTCCACAAAGTATTCGATTTATCTTTCGTTTTCTAATTTGTTGTTTTAACTTTCAGTATCTTTTCCTATTTTCTGTTACCTGTGACCCTGTAGTGGCATCTTCTGGCTTTTTGTCATCTCGAATCCTGAGGAATCGTGGGAAACGGAGAGAAATGCCTTTCTCTGGGTCCACCTGTTGGTCAAATTGTGAATAACAAGCAAACCAGAGCATTAAAGCAAAAAAGAAATGCCTTTCTTTGAGCAAAAAAAAAAAAAAAAAAACAACAACAAAACAATACAGTACTGACAATCAATGACACAGTGAAAGATTACGCTGGAGTTCTTTAACCTTGGAATACTGAAGTTTTTAGTTTTTAAGCTTTTACACGAAATGGTAAATAAGTCAAAATTCTGTGGAAAAAAGAAAAAAAAAGGGCAGCATTATAAGAATGCTGAATTCCAAGAATGCATTTTGTAAAAATCCATTACCAACTACACCAAGCCAATGTTGACCAATCAAAATGTGTGATACTGACCAATCCCATTGCTGCCTTGTAGACTGGAGACAGAGACAGGTCTGCACATTTCACCTCCCAAACCTGTATTGCCTCCAGCCAAACATCTGGCTCTGCTGATTGGTCCACGCGGTAATAGGGGCGGGGTTTAGGTAAAATATGCTCCTGAAAGGGAAAATAATGTTACTGATCAAGTACAAATGTGGAAGATAAACCATTAAAAAAGGAGCAAACAACTTAATTCTGCATAATCACAAATGTATGGCTAAGGTTTATGTTTGGCTTAGTTTTCTTGGGGATGGGAACAGTTGTTAAATGTTGTGAAGGGAAAGTACTTTTGAGTGGTGCTGAAAGGGTACACAGCACTCCCTCTGGAAGGAATCGTTTCCTAGCTACAATCCTGTCAATCATCTCACCAGATTCTTCATCACATTATGTTCCTGTTGCTCTGATTATGATTTTACACCTTAATTAGTAATTGCCAGGTGATTGCTTCTCACGGGCTTGTTATTTGATTAATTTACCTGAACTTGAAGAAACCAACCTTTGTGAAAGTTAATATTATAATATAGTTATTCAAATATAATCCATTTCACTTGAAACTATATTTTACACTAACAGATAACAGTCAGGGGTAAATCGAATACATTTAATCAAGAGTTGAGGTGGTTTTGACTGAATTCTAACTGGTAAAGCATCTTTTGATAACTCCTATGTTTTGGTATATTCTAAATCTCATTACAACCACGTCATTGTATGGATAGTGGAACTAACAACTGGGATACAAAAAGTGTTATGGGAACAAAAGGACTGTGTTATCAAAGAAATGAAGCCAAAACTCTTGTGATAACAAATCGAATAGATTCCTAAACAAACTAATCAAGACAGAGCCATGTGCAGGTGTGCTAATTAAATCACACTCAGGTGCAGGGAACAAACGTGGACATGATCAGGCAAGTGACTGTTATAGTTCCCTTCACAATAGTAAACAGTACATTCAAGCAAAGAGCGAATATTCAAATTCTACCTTTAAGAAATTATAATGTTGCTCTAGATCTTCATCTTTGAAACCTGTTCCAATCTGTAAAGCAAAAAATAAATACATTTTATATATATGGAAATACCCACTAAACATGTGAAGTCTGATGTTACATAATATTAAGACCTTTAAAAATACCTATTTTGGTAATAATATTGTCACTCTCTAGGAATTCTCTAACACACCTTGCAGACAGACTGAAACTCCTCATTCTCATCATCGTAGCAGGCGAGCAGAAATCCTCCATAGCTTCCCGCTCTCTTTCCTTTTCCCAGATACGCACCAATCACACACAGATCCACGGTGTCTCCAACACCCTCTAGATAGTCCTTCTTTAGCTGCAACACGGGTAAATATATTATTCTTTCTTCTTCGTCACTCCAGAGTGCCTCAAAAATTGGTGGTGGTTGGTGGCTTAGGTCACTGTTTACAGTGAGTTTACATACAAGAAAGTGAGCAGTTCCTTAGAGCGTTAAAAACAAAAACGTGTGAATTTCTCATCAGAAGAGTGAAAGAGAATAACGGAGATCAAACTCTCCCTGTGCCGAGTGCAAGAGTTAATATCTACTCAAATCTGTGCGGGTTGTATGAGCTGTTTGAGTAATTTTCCTACATGGTTTTAAGCACGGCACAGACAAACAGTCAGAATATAAGGTACAAGCCATCAAATCACTGAGGCTGTATGTCAGAATATGGACAGAAAGCAAGAGAAAAGCTTAATGGAGTGGAAATAACACCATAATGACTTAGTTTCTCTAGTACCTGACTGAGATTTACTTCTTTAAACAACTATATAGGACTCTCAGGGATCTTTTCAGTGATTCATATGACAAAATAATTGTGTAAGTGTACTGTATAACTCAGACTGCAGACAATACCAGGTCTCCTGAAAATAACAATATAAAAACAGTCTTACCACAAACAACGAGCTAAAAACAGGAAGGTGAGACATTTATTTTGAGTTATGTATTGTTATATTCTCATGAGGGCCATGGAACACTAAAGCAGCTGTATACTTTCTTAGGGGTGCTCGAGAGCTCATGGGAGCTTTCCCAACCAGCCTACACGTTCCCTTGAAGCGCAGATCAGGGAAAGAAATGCGTTTTTTACACAGGGTGATGTGGTTCTCTCCTCGACAAGGAGATCGGTTACAGTTTGAGCCGACTTCTGAATCCATTTGGAACCCCTGAACACGATGATGGGGATGCATTCTATGCATGTCTTGCTAGGAATATCCAGAGAAACTAATGCTGAAACTAACTACATTTTTAGAGACATTGCTTGGTATCGCTTAGTTCTAGTCGCCAAGATGGACTGTTCCGTTTACCCAAACTTTCAGCATGGGGTTTGAGTGTGCTTTTTATTCTAGTTCAGCTTGGTAACTTAAATGTGCCATCTCTTGGTCAA